GCTACACTCCGTCACAGAAATAACGAAGCTCAAGCAAGCAGGCTCGGGTCCTACAGGATGTTCAAGCTGGTTAAGAAATAGGATAAGGCTCAGAATGTCGAGTTGTCTGAGAGGTGACTAAGCCAAACATCTTCTTTCAGGGGGTGAGTTCTTGAACCACCAGTCCCTACTTTATCCTGATGCACCGGTTAACCAGCCCTGAAATTGTGGGTCGCACCTACCAGACGTAAAAGGCAGGCGTCGGTAGGCAAATGGCACGTGGTAAAGATCTGTTATGAACCTGGTTGTTTGTTGTATGAAGACCAACATGCACTCACATAGAGACTTCCAAGCATGCCCATACATACAAAGAAGGAAGGGGAGAGCATGGGAGTATCACACCGCACAGGAAGATAGAAACACAGCGGAAGACTTAGCCATGCGATATGACAGAGTACACTGAAAGTGCAATTCACCCCACAGAATCCTCACAACCAGTCACAAAGGAAAGCCGAGTAGATCACATCCAGAAAACAATGAAGCAAAGACAGTTCAGACACAGTACCGACGCTGTTTATTAAACGCAGAGTCTCGATTTGTCAGAATAATGTCGCATGCCGTAAAGGTGCTAAAAGGGCCTTTACCCGATTCAGACCCTGTTTGAGAAGTGCAGCATAAAGGGGTCACTCGGCAGACCCCCAACTCGTGAAAAGCAGATCAACAGGTATGTTCTTTGGGGCAAAAGGCACATCCTAACAAAGTAAAGATCATTGTCAAAGGTCAAGAGCTGTGCCCTGGACGAACAGTCGCAGTGTTCAAACACAACTGTTCATCCAGGGGATGTGCAGTCCATGTCTGTTCATGCAACGGTTGTGTCTGTACGTACAGTATGTGTCTGTTCGTGCAGTATATGTGTCTGTTCGTGTAAAATGTGTGTCTGTACGTATAGAAGGTGTGTCCTTTCGAAAGGAAGTCAAAAGGTTGAGTCCCAGTCAAGATTCCAGTCAAAGGGGAAGTCCAGATTCAGGTTGTCCGAAATTAAGGCCTGAAGGCCGCAGCAGCAGTGGACCCTGAGGAAAAGGAACTGTGGCACACAGCACAGAGGCTGGGACTGGGAAAAGGACCAACAAAGACTGAATTCAGACCTCGCCAGGGGAGGCCAGCACTATAAGAAACGAGGCAGCCTCCCCACAGGGCAGATCCCCTTGAGCATTGATGCGTGGAAGTGCTGAGGCACTTGTGCGCTAAGGTGCAGGGAGGAAGCGCTGGCAGAAGAAGAAGCTGCGCTAGAGGAAGGGAAGCTGCGCGGGCTGCAGCAAGCCATAGCTGCGCCAGGCAGAGCTAGTGTTAGTAGTAGTTTAAGCAGGATTAGTGTTAGTACATCAGTGAGAAGCATTCGGAGTAGATCCTTGTAGACAGGGAGTGTGCATGTAAGAAGAGACAAGGAGAACCGGGACAGAGATCTTGAGAGAGGAGAACAAGGAAGAGTGAAGACAGGTGGAGACATCGACTACGGTGAAAACTTACCTGTTGGCGCCATCTTTGAGAACTGGAACAAGCGCTGGCTAAGACAGGCTCTGTTTGTATGTTGATACGAAGGAGAGACTTGTATACTTTGGGCGCTGGGCTCTTGAACTCGAGATACTCTTGTATAACGTGATTTTGATAATATAAGCTGTGCTACTTGGTTCTTCCCTTTTCTCAATTTCGAGCTTTGTGTGAAGCTATTCTATCTGTGTTTGGTGATATGTGTGCATGCGAATGAGACACTCCAGCAAGTGTGAACAGTCGGGCCCCTTGCAGTGCAGACCAGAACAAGAACCGACCTCTCTCACATAGTACAAGATAGCGCAGTGGAGGGTTAATATACCAATGATCCGAACAATCAATGTTGCAATGCAGACCAAACATACATCATCATCATTCCATGGTGTGAAGGGGCCTGGCGCTCAAACAGGAAGAATGCGCCAGTCCCCAACCATACACAGACGAAGAAGAGGGGAAGAGGGGAATGTCGTCAACACCAAGTCTTCGGTACAGGTCCCAAATAATCCCTCGTCCTCTCTCACATAGTACAAGATAGCGCAGCGGAAGGCTAATATACCAATGATCCGAACAATCAATGTTGCAATGCAGACCAAACATACATCATCATCATTCCATGCAGCGCAGTGATAGCCCATGCAGACCATCGCCAATACAAGGTATGTGCCCTCACATCATCATCATCATCATCATCCTTCACCTATCCCCTGACTACACCCACGTCTGTCCTCCGTTTCACCCGAAGACCACCCCTGCGCTTCACTGTAGTCCAAGCCAACCAGCTATGGTGGCTGGGCTATGGCGCTGCCCTCAGCAGCGCCCTCCTCCTCTGCATGACCGCACATGCTGCACCTCGCCTCTCAGCGCCAGCCAGCAGCCGCGAGCCTCTGCTCCAGCAGCGCTGCCGCTAGCATGCGAGTGCGTGAATGAGGCAGCCAGGGCAAGCTCTTTCCTTTATGGAAAGAGTTGGCCTGCTCACGCAGCCTGGCTGCCCTGGCCTGGGCCCAGAAGCTTCCGGAAGGCCCCACGAGGCTGCCTGGATGCAGCAGCTACTGGGCTGCTGGGCCTTGTTCGGTTGGGCGCCCAACTGTCTCTGTATGAGGNACGAGGCTGCCTGGATGCAGCAGCTACTGGGCTGCTGGGCCTTGTTCGGTTGGGCGCCCAACTGTCTCTGTATGAGGCTGCGAATCACGCCCAGGGCCTGCATTCTTTGGAAAGGCCCGGTAGGCCGTGGAAATGTCTTTGTTGCTCGGCCTGTGTTTCTTTCAACCAACTGGCGCGTCGCAACTGCCTGGACCCCAAATATGAAATTGACAGTCGAGGGCCTCTTGCAAAAAGCCAGGCCCGCCTTCACTTAGGGCGGGCACCTCCGCCTTCACTTAGGGCGGGTAAGGCTGCAAACAGGGCCCCATAAGCCTACCGAGGACCCTGATCCTCGCATTCCCTCCTCCTTAACTTTGTGAGTCCACTGAGAAGTCTCTTATTCTGCAGGCATCTTCCCCTTGAGTGCTCTTTCATAGCCTGCGATTACTTGAGGTGCTGTTCTCATGAGTTCCACCGATCTTCTTTCGGTTCCAGATGATGTCTGAAGCTCACACGATACTGCACTCTCGGTTTAGGAGGTCGCCCTCTGCCTGATGGTGGAGGAACAGGCATCACTCGATGCTCGACGATCTGGTCAATGTCCACTTCGCCATCCATGGTTGGGGACAGCATTGATCTTCTGGAAGGGAACTGCTCAGTAGCAGCATAGGGTGCTAACTTAGAGGCATGGAACACAGGGTAGGTACGCAAGTGAGGTGGGATGCGGATTACATATGAAGGTCCGTCTGCTTGATCTCCTACAATCTCTAAGATCTCCCAGGGCCCAAAGAACTGTGGTATTAGCTTGCGGGATATGCCTAACTCCTGACCAAGCTCAGCAGCCTTAATCCAAACTCTCTCGCCCACCTGAAAGTTAGAGGGCCGTCTATGTTTATTCTTAGATGCAATCATTGCCTCTTGAGACTTCCTAATGTGTTTAACGGCCTGCTGCAGCATCTGTTCGTACTTGACAGCAAACTCTATGCTGTCGGGTGCTGCAGTGGGTTCTCTTTCTGGTAACAGAAAGTCTAAGGTTCGGGGCTTCCAACCAAGATGCAGTTGGTTGGGAGTCATGCCGGTAGTACTATGCACAACATTGTTGTACAGGCTGGCAACGAGAGGTAATTTATCGTCCCAGTCGTCCTGACTTGGCTTGATATAGTGCCTAAGCAACTGCTGTACTGCTCGGTTCATTTGTTCTGCTTGCCCATTTGACTCAGGATGATTTCCTGAAGTCATTTGGAGTTTTGTGCCCATTTGTTCAGTAGTAGACTGCCACAACTCACTTGTGAATCTGACGTCCCTATCACTAACAATAGAGGTAGGTAGACCGAAATCTTTTACCCAGTTATCCATGAAAAGTTTGATGACAAAGTCAGTTTTAGCAGTTTCAGGCATAGCGATCAGTCTGGCGTACTTGGTGAAACGGTCCACTATGACAAAGATGTGTATCTTTCCTGTCCTACTGGTCACAAGGGTATCCATGAAATCCATGGACACACTCTGACCTGGTCCTTCAGGGATCGGCAAGGGTTTGATTAACCCAAGCGGAGCCTGAGTCCTTGGTTTGTCCCTTTGACAAACCTGGCAGGTTTCAACATAACGTTTTGTATCTTCTAACATGGAAGGCCACCAAAATCTTTGCACTAAGTTCGCTGATGTCTTTCTATAGCCAAAATGACCAGTTGCATCATGACATTCCCCTAAAAATAAACTACGCAAAGACTCACTATTAGCAACACATAGTCTTTTATTCCCTGCCTTCTCAAGGAACAGCAAACCATCTACCATCGTAAATTCATCCAAAGTTTTCTTGTCCTTTGCTTGGAATCTACGAATGATTTCTGACATGACTGGGTCTCCCTGATAGGCTTCCACCATCGGTCGAGTGAGTTCGTCAGATATGCCAAACTCGGTAACTAGCGTGCCCAAATAATATGCCCTTCTTGATAGCGCATCAGCCACCTTGTTATACATACCCTTGATAGGATCAAGTTGATAGTCATACATGTCTATCACTTGAATCCATCTCTTGAGTGCGTCTGACAACACAGGTTGTGTCTTGATCCAACGCAAAGTCTCATGGTCAGACCTCACATAGAAAAATCTTCCTAGGAGGTAGTGTCTCCAGTGGACTAGCGCTCTGTATAGGGCGTAGAGCTCTCTCTCATACGTGGACTTCGCTAACTTTTGAGATGGCATCTTCTTGCTCATATACTCGATCGGTCTCACCGCGCCTATGCCATATTGGTTGGCGTCTGTGGTCACAACAAATGGCTTGTCAGGATCAGGAAGTTTGAGAACTTCATAGTGTGTTAGAGCATACTTCAATTTCTTGAAGCTTGCCTCACACTCTTCAGTCCACTCCCAAGGGGTGTCAAGTCGAGTTAGATCTGTTAATGGGGAAGCTATAGTACTATAGTTCTTCACAAACGGACGATAATAGTCCGTCATCCCCAAAAACGATCAGACCTCAGTAACAGTCTGAGGTCTAGGCCAGTCACGTATGTTGGCCACCTTCGCATCTTCCGGCCTCAATCCATCTGTTGAAATTTCACGACCCAAGTACAAGATCTTGGTGCAACCAAGCTCGCATTTATCCAAGTTTACCTTGTACTGGTGCTGTCTTAGGAGACCTAGCACTGTTTTCAAGTGCTCATCATGCTCCTCTACAGTCCTACTAAAGATGAGAATATCATCGAGGTACACGACGATAAACTTGTCCAAGTAGTCATGAAAGATCGTATTCATCGCGTGCTGGAACCTACCAGGCGCATTGCATAGGCCAAAAGGCATCACCACAAACTCGTACAGACCGAACCTGGTCTGAAATGCGGTTTTGTGTTGGTCCTCAGGTCTAACGGCAATTTGATGGTATCCGAACTTCAAATCTATCTTTGTGAAGTACCGGCATCCCTGCACTCTATCCAAGAGGTCGTCAATGCGGGGTAGGGGCTCCGCGTTCTTAACGGTGATGGCATTGAGGCCCCTATAGTCAATGCACATCCTTAATGGTCCTCCCTTCTTTGGGACAAATAACACTGGCGCACCGTAAGGGGAGGTACTAGGCCGTATCCATCCCTTCTCTGTGAGCTCCTTGAGCTAGCGGCGAAGCTCATCTAACTCCGCAGGAGACATCCTATAGATTCTTCCTCTAGGCACTTTACTACCTGGGACAACGTCTATCGCATGTACAACCTCCCTTTCCACCGCGCCTGTGGGCTCCTAAAAAAGGTCTGAATATTGTGCGACGACTCTTTCTATCTCTGGGGGTGTTTTAACGACCTCCCCTTTCTCAGAGACAAAGACTAGATACATGCCCTCCTCTCGATTCTGCTTATAATAATTATAGAAGGATGAAGCGCACATACACCCGTAGTTCTCTATTAGACTGCTAGCTTTATACTTCTGCAATCTAACAATTCTACCATTGGGCAACTTGTGAATCAACACCTTTCTATCCCAGTCAAACTGAGGTTGCGAGACTTCGAGGTAGTACATGCCTAGTAGCATATCGACTGGCAGTTCGTCGCTCACTAGGAAGGAGATCTTGTGGATCACATCCCCTCCTCCATAGGAGAAGGTGCAGGCTACGTCCTTCACATAGTCTTTTACCACCATTTGGTGCTTGTTGGCTAGCATAGAAGCTACAGTTCTACTAAGCCGCTGCACTTGGTCCCCTAAGCGCAGTCTATCCACACAAGCACGACTGATGAAATTTTGTGTAGAGCCTATGTCTGCGAAGGCGCCAACCTTGCGGCCACCTACATCTACTTCGAGCCACGAAATGTTCACCCTTTGGACCTCTACTGATCATCGCCCAAGAGTCCCTGGGGTCCTTTCCTAACCACTCAGTCTCTAACTCTTCTAGGGCCTCAGACATCTCTCGTACAGAGCGTCGGTGGGTCTGAATGTGTCTGCGGGGCGATGCGTGGGTCACTAGCCTTGGCCAACGCCTGAAGTGGGGAAGGCAACGTTACCGCTTCAGCACAAGTAAGAGCGGCTAACACTCCTACTGGCCCGAGGTGTTTCCCTGAGAGCTGCTCGCAAGCACTCCCAAGGTTCGAAGATAAGCCCACCATCGTTGGTGAGGCTACCTTCGTGGTGACCTTCTTGTCGCGGCAAGTCCTGGACGTGTGGCCATAGTTGCCACAGTTATGCATGTACCCCTAGCAACGCGGCCACGCCACACCTCGTAATCCAAACCAATCTTCACCCATGCAGTTGTCCCTTGGTCTCCCTGACCCGTGGACCGTTCTACCTTCTTCTTCCCGGTCCCCCTAGCCTTTTCCTTGATGGGCGCCACGACTCCCCTATCCGAAGTCTCGCTGGCCCCATCCTGCTCTGTCAACTCCCCAAGGTCTGGGAAATCGTCAATCTCCGTCGTTTGACCATCGTGGTCAACGAACATTAACTGACCCTTCTTCTTCCAGTCTTGGGGCAGTCTCTTCCTACCATCATGGGATGCCTTATGCGCAGATCCCAGTTTTGCCTCTATGTCTAGACCCTTCTTACTAAAAGAAGCGAAGGTGTGCTGTTCGACATAGGCCTCGTCAACCAACTTGGTCCTTACCTCTGCAGGTAGGCACCTTAGGTAATCCGTTAGGAGAACCTGCTGGTCAAAACGCACACCAGGTACCACGAGTAGTCGCTCTACGGTATCCGTGAGCTCTCTAACATCCTTGAACCTACGGGCACAAAGATTGTTGATAGCATCGGTGGCCTTCTAAGCCCCTTGCGGGTCATGCCACCTGTTGTACACGGACCGTACGAGCTCTTCCAATGTCTGAGCCTGTGCCCAGGCATCGGAGTTTTGACCGTAGCCCTGCTGCTGCACTAAGCCATTCAACCAGCGGGCTGCTGACCCCTCTAAGAAGGAGGCAGCCACTACAACTTCTTGCTCTGGCCTTGTGAGCGTGTGCCTCACATAAGTAGGCACAATCCTCACCAAGGTGTCCAAGTCCCCCTCCTTCTTCCTATCTCCAGAGAAGGGCTTGGGACTCGTGAGAGGTATCTTAGGCATCCACTGCATAGGCTGCATGGGCCCAGGAGCTTGCTGCAGCGGCTGCATAGCCACTGAAACAGGCTGTTGCACACTGACCTAGGACTGGCTTGACAGTGGGACTGTAGTGACCACTGTCGTGGATGGTACGGTTGAGACTCTATGAACCGGACCACTAGCTGCTACTAAACCACCTGGAGGGGGCATGCCAAACATAGGAGAGAAAGTTTGCCCTGTGTGTTGCGGTATCGATGAAGGACCCGCACTCGCAGGGGGAACTACAGCAAATTGTGGCTCCCTCACTGTTGTGCGAGGAGCCCGAAGTTCAGCCAGGATTTGTCTCTGGCCTGCCAACAAATCGGTCAGCAATTCCTACTGGACGTTCTGCGCTTCAGCCACTAAGAGAAGAGCATTACGCAGCACACGGCCAGTAGGATCCAATCCTGCCTCATCTAGTGCTTCCATCCTGCCTAGCTCCTGCATTCTACTCCCTAATCTAGCCCTCCTAAGTATGGCTTTTCTTTTCCTCTCTGCTGCATCGTCCAACTGCCGTTGTAGCTCATCCTGAAGTCTTCTGCTTGGCGGATTTCCAAATCCTCCGCCGTGAGTTGAGTTTGTTGGCTGACTCGCACGGCAAAATTCTGACTAGTGGAAACCTGAGAACCACTCTGACTGACTCCTGACGAAGAGGACTGTGTAGAGACTTGCGACATGGTTGAGGTAGCCATGGTTGCGCCGGTACTAGCTGAGACTCTAGTCTGGGCGCTATCCTCAGCTGCCCTCGCTCTCCTTGCCGCTGCCCTCTCTCTAGCCTCTCTCCGCAATCTTCTCTCGTCTCCTGGACCTAACTCCAAGAATGTCAAGGGTTGACTACGAGCAGTCCCGCGAGTTGTCTACGGTCGTCCACTAGCAACTCCTCCTCACTAGTGCTTGCATCACTCATGAGCTACGGTGTGTGTGATCGTAACAAGAATCCACATTGAATCCTACCTTAGCCTGACACACAACCGATTATGAAAACACAACTAATTTCGGTCAGATGGAACAGAAACAGTTAGGTGATGTATTAACAACTAATGTCAGGTCCTACAGGATATATTAATTTTATTTTTGGATTATCTAGGAACAGATTGCACTACAGCAAAGATCTACTCTATCTGTAGCTGTCTGTCAGTTGTTAGCGAAGTCTGTCACAACTAGATAATCAAAATAAGAATAACATCTCCGGTTGGAGATGTATACTGGATGGCAGATTGATAATTGATTGCCACTGTGAACAGTTCCCGGAATCCCCCCTCCCCCTGTATCCTTCTTGATTGGTCACTTTGTGTCAACATTCCTGAGCAGCTGGTTGAGCAGCGTGTCTAAAGGTGTGCAATCCGGCCCACCCCTGTGCCCCAAGTCATTGCCGAACACGCCAGCCAGTACACTCTTATTTACCCTCGTACGGAACGAGCCTTACACCCGGTTGATCTGGCTGCTCAGGAGGAATTTTAGGAGAGCCCCCATCTCCTTAGGAATTATTTAACGTCGCAGTCAGGACGGCGATCACAGCCAGATTCAATCCGAGTCCCCAACCAGAAATATTTATAGACGGTCTGGTAAGTGTCTCATAAAAGGCTGGCATGCCCGGGAAGACCTCTATTGCGCAAGCAGCAGAACCAAGGACTTGTGGCCCAAGCATGCGTGTACTAGCCCCAGCGGGTTGGCATGGTGACCGTGACCTGAGTGCTTCGTCCAGGGCCCTTCAGAGGCTTCGTCCGTCTCCCACCAGCTTGCTGCCCAGGAAGAATGTCGACTCTCAAGGTTGAGCGCTCGCGACACCTTACATCGAGAGGACTCTCAAGACAGAACTCACTTCCTCACGATAAGAAGAGATGAAGAGGGTAGATAAGGATGAGAGCAACGTACCTCATAAATGCTGCCCCCAACCACAGATTTCTCACCGGTAACCTGATGTGCAATTATGATGACCGGTCTTTGCTTCAGCACAACCAACAGCAGAATGCGGTTCCACCTCAGCTTAATATGTCACATCAGCGAGTTCTCATCATCCACCATACATCCCGTATGTCACCACATAGCTCCCTGACGCGCCCACACTACCCTGGGCCGCCTAACGTTCAGCGCCAATGCCTTATCACCGCCCCACACCTCATGCGAAGCACCAATAGCTATTGCGAAGAACCAATGAAGCGCAATATGAACCAGCTCTGATACCAAATTGCAAGGAAAATAAGTAACAGCGAGATGACAATTCCAGATCACACCATCACATTGAAAGCCAAATAGTCACACCGTGTCCACAGAGCAGCATTGCACCAATAATACACCAATGGAGGTTCGTAGCACTGAAAACCAATGTTCATGGAGAGCATACTCTCTCCTTCCAACACAAGAGTCCAGTTCCTTCACACTCACACTTGGCGCTCAGCGCCCAGCCTACTCCTACACAGCTACTACAGACTACAAAAAGACAATGCAACTGTTGACATCAGCGGCAGCCCAAAGTACTTGAAGATGTCGTCCATGCAGACCATCGCCAATACAAGGTATGTGCCCTCACATCATCATCATCATCATCCTTCACCTATCCCCTGACTACACCCACGTTTGTCCTCTGTTTCACCCGAAGACCACCCCTGCGCTTCACTGTAGTCCAAGCCCACCAGCTATGGTGGCTGGGCTATGGCGCTGCCCTCAGCAGCGCCCTCCTCCTCTGCACGCCCGCACGTGCTGCACCTCGCCTCTCAGCGCCAGCCAGCAACCGCGAGCCTCTGCTCCAGCAGCGCTGCTGCTAGCATGCGAGTGCGTGAATGAGGCAGCCAAGGCCGAGCTCTTTCCTTTATGGAAAGAGTTGGCCTGCTCACGCAGCCTGGCTGCCCTGGCCTGGGCCCARAAGCTTCCGGAAGGCCCCASGAGGCTGCCTGGATGCAGCAGCTACTGGGCTGCTGGGCCTTGTTCGGTTGGGCGCCCAACTGTCTCTGTATGAGGCTGCGAATCACGCCCAGGTCCTGCATTCTTTGGAAAGGCCCCGGATGGCCGTGTAAATGTCTTTGTTGCTCGGCCTGTGTTTCTTTCAACCAACTGGCGCGTCGCAACTGCCTGGACCCCAAATATGAAATTGATAGTCGAGGGCCTCTTGCAAAAAGCCAGGCCCGCCTTCACTTAGGGCGGGCACCTCCGCCTTCACTTAGGGCGGGTAAGGCTGCAAGCAGGGCCCCATAAGCCTACCGAGGACCCTGATCCTCGCAGAAGAAAGAAGACAGCCGGGGTGAAGAGAAAGGTGGCAAGGAAGGAGAAAGGAAGGAGAAGGGTGGTGAGGAAGGTGAAGCCGACAACCATAGCCGACCGGAAGAGTTGACCGGAGTTGACCAGGCGTTGACCGGTGTTGACCGGGAGTTGACCGGGCGTTGATTGGAGGTGCTGACCAGCGTTGACCAGGGTTGACCGGGGGTTGACTGCAGCGTTGACCAAGACCGTTGACCACGATTTGACCAAGCTGGAGCCGGTATATTCTCGCCAAGCCTTCAGCCTATCCTCTCGCCCTATGGATGTGCGGATGCTGCTGGCGCTCCTCTAGATTCTTACTAAAAATCAAAATATCGTATAGATAGACGACTACAGACTTGTCTAACCACTCACGAAGGAGATCATTCATGCATCTCTAGAAAGTAGCAGGAGCATTCGTCACACCAAACGGCATGACCACGAACTTGTAGTGGCCGTAGTGAGTTCTAAAGGTCATCTTGTGCCGGTCTTCGGGTTGTACCTCTATCTAATGGTAGCCCGACTTCAAGTCAATCCTGGAAAAATACTTGCATCCCTGGACCCTATCCAACAGATCATCTATCCTAGGCAAGGGTTTGACGTTCTTCACCGTGATCGCGTTTAAACCCCTGTAGTCGATGCACATTCGCAGTTCGCCGTCCTTCTGAGGCACGAATAGGACCGGTGCGCCATACGACGATGAATTGGGCTTAATCCACCCTTTCTCTATTAGTTCATCAAGCTGTCTACATAGCTCATCGAGTTCTTTGGGAGACATTCGGTAGATTACCCCCTTGGGAGTTCTGCTACTGGCTCTATCTCTATCCGGTGCTTGATTTCCCTTTCCACTACTCCTGTCGGGTCTCTCCCACGTCAGCGAACTCTTTCAACAGTTTTTCAACTGCGGGTGGTGTTGGCTCCTCCTCCTTTTCCTCGCTCACCGGTCTAACATGTGCTACGACGACTTGGTAAACCAAATCGGCTTTGACCACGTGCCTAGCGAACGCAAGGGCACTCATACAACAAAGGGAATGACTGGACTCTACTCCAAATTCGTGAAACAATCGCATTTTCTTTTTGCCACCGTCTGGGCTGGGCAGTCGGCATTCGTGCTCGCCCATCTTTACATCAGCCCGCGCAGCCTCTCCCCAATCCGTCCCTAAGATCAGGTCAAAACGTAGGTTATCCTCCACTAAGAGGGTCAGGGAGTGCATAACTTTCTCTACCTTGTTCCCCCCCTCCAACAAGACGTATGCCCTTACCCCTTCGATGTATTCCTCTACTCTCATTTCACGACTGTCTTCCAGCCTGCTCACGACCGGCTCATCCAATTTCATAACCTTCATGTCGAGGTGCATCTTTTGCAATCCCCTTCGGCTAATGTAGCTACACATATAACCACTATCAACTAGCGCGCCTGCTCGCTCCCTACTAATTTCTACATCTGCCTGCCTTTTACTCTTCTTCTTCATTTCGGCCCAAGCTTGGCGACGAGTGATCAACTCATCATCGATGCATGCGAGGGAACCACCCAGAGAGACCCTAGCACAAGTGGTCTCTAGACAGCTAACTGGGTGGGGGGCTACATCAGTCTTTGCCATAGGGGCCATCAGACAGGAGGGTGTCTGTTTAGCGCGCGCTTCTGTCTGTCTGTCTGTGTCTGAAGGCCCAGCAGTAGCGACTGCAACTCCTACTAGCTGCTCCCTTTTGGGTAGCGGTAGTTAGGGCAAAAGCAGACAATGTGGTTGGGATCACCACATTTCAGGCACTTGCCGACCTTAAGCCTTTGCTCCCACAACGTTTTCTCTATGCCCATCTCTTTCCATGGCTCTCCGTCCGCAATCCCTGGCTGTGCTGGCCATGGTCTGCGCCCTCTACCTCTTCCACTTGTGGAGGAGGAACCACGTCCACCTTGCGGGGAACCATAACCCCTTGCGATCGATTTATTTTTCCATCGCCCTCCTTTCTGCAGGTCTTTCTAGTAATAGTTGACCTCCATCAGGAAGCCGGCCTGACATACGACGATCTTACTAAATTTCTCGTAAGTCATGCCGTCCTCTTTCGTACAGGGGTACAGAGTGGTCCTCAAGGGATCAGGCATCGCTCTTGCGAAGTTGTTCAAAATTTGAGTGGAAGTTAGACCGTGATCGAGGCATTGCAACAGCCCATCCATGGTGGCTTTCAACGCAGCGACACTCTTCCATTTCCTATCACTAATATTAAGGATCAGCTGCTCAATGTGTCGGGCCAGGTTCTTGTCTTCGAACTTCTCCTTCAGGGCCTTGAAGAAATCCTCTATGCGAGTGCGGTTAGAGTATTCCACCATGGGGGCACAACTTGCCTCCTTCATCAAGGAAATGGCGAAATGGCGGCATCCCCACCAAGGCACGAGCTCGTCATCAAGACACAGTCCCACTATGGAATCAACTGTGCATACGGATACATGACCATATGCGCCTCCCACTGGTTAAAGTTCTCTTCTCTCTTCTCGTTGTACGTCCAGGGAAGCTTCGCTTTCATCTTCTCTCCCCTTTCTCCCCCTTCCAGCTGATTAGGATATACCTTTCTGTCCCCCTCCTTCTTTGGCCCTCCGTCGTCGTCATCTCCACCATCTCCACCTCCACCGCCGGCACCCTGCCTGGCTGCAGTGACAATATCTATCAACTTTGAGGTGAAGATGCCTTCCAATTGTTGTGCATAACCCCCAACACGCTCATCTATTCGCTGGGCAGCGACACTTAGATAGTTGTTCCAGGTGCCTTTGAACTTGTGATTGTGTTGTTCGAGTTGGGTGACAGACTTGTTTATGGTGGCGAGTTCCTGGTTAGTATATAGCAAGGCGTTAATCATGAGGGCACAGTGTTCTTTCCACTCACCCTCACGGCCTTTCTGTTCCTTCAACTGGCGTTCAATCTCCTCCACCTCAGCTTTCAGTCTCCTCTTCTCATCCAACTCCGCCCTTTTGCTTTATTAGGAGCCGCTGATGCAATTCATGTTCCCTTTCCTACATCATCGGTTCTCTCTCAGAGTCGTCCTCTGCCGCCTCCAATTTTGTTGTGAGTTCAGCCCTCTCATCCTTTGACTCTTCTGCCCACTCATACTTCCTAAACCCAAACTTCTCCATCCATGTCTGGTTGTCAACTGGGTAGAAATGCAACTGACTGGACTCTCCCTTTTCGGTACACATACCTCCTTCAACCCTGTGTCTGGGGTCTTCCAGCCTCTCCTCCTCTTCCTCTTCTTCTTCTTCTTTTATTACCTCCACCTGTTGTTTCAGTTTCTCCAGTGTTTTGAGCTTCTCCTCCAGCTCGCTTCTCTCCTTCTCCAATCTCTCTTTCTCCTCCTCTTTCTTCTTTCTTTTCTCCTCCTCCTTCTCATCCTTCTCCTCCTTTTTCTCCGCCAGCCTCCTATCGATCTCGGCCTGTTGTTTAGCGGACTATTAATCCTAACCAAAATCAGGGTCTGAGAACTAATTCCCTTCCCACTTCTGTCACTATAGCTTTCCTAACATCAGGTGGGAAACTGGCAGTTTAGGGTCAGCCAGCACAAACCTCATGAATTATTTAAAGACACAGACAGGACGTCGTGCTCACCGATATGAAGGATCACTCTCAAGACTTAGACTAGTTCCTCACTGATTGCAGTGTTTTTCGGGTATAAGTACAACCAGTGACTAGCCAGGCAGTCACTACCGGTCCTTCGGGGATCTCCCTGGCGTCCTCAAATAGTGGACCTTACGTCTCACCCCTACTTTGCCCATGCATTATATGGCTGGCAAACCCTACTGCCCTCTACAACTCCTGACTGCGTCCCATAGAGTCTTCGGTCGCATGCCGGTCAGTAGCGATCATTGGGCATAGTCGGGTTGTTTTACAAGTGCCCACCTCTTGTTGCCCATGCTCCCTACTAGGTCCGGGGATACATCCAGTTGCCGAGTTGCTGCCCTAGACCGACCTACATCACACACGAAACTTTCACTCTCACGGGATTAGGGTCCCACTGGGTACCTATGCCCCCAGTTAGGCCGACAACCCTAACCACTTCCCCCACAAGGGGGAGGAGCCTTTCCTCCAAGAGAGATCGGTCTCCGACTCCCCAAACAGGCAGACCAAGTGCAACTGCTGACCGAAATGACAACATGACATCAACATTGCAGCAGAGGTCACCAGGAAAGCACGTGGGAAGGTACCATTCACAATGAAATTCAAATTGCATAACGACAACGCCAAGGCAAAGAAGCACTTCACTCCTTGAACGTTCCCTTGATGAAGCTCCTCGATCGCAGGTACATGCTCCCCTTGCTCCTTGCTATGCCCCTTCTTCTTCAACCCTCAACATGCAATCAACCCTAATCCTACTTTACCCGATCGGACGTCCGGACCCCCCCTGACCGTCCAGGGTTGTCCGATCAGACAACCGGTTGGTCGTCCGCCCCGGGCCCTATGTCTGATCGGTGGGGAAATTGTTGGGGGCGCTTCCATGGGGAATCGGGCGCTGTGAGGGTGAGAAGCGGGCACGGGCAAAGCGGGGGGGCCGAAGCGAAAAAATTTTCGACGTTGGTAAGGCCTTGAAAATCGAAAACGAAAATGGCGCGATCTGGGCAGTCAGATCTTTGAGATCGACGACGCAGATCGGGCCGAGTTCAAATTCAAATTTTGAGGCGTTGTGGCCCTCTCTCACGCGCAACTTCGCCCAACCCTGTAGGTGGAGTTCGGCGTTGCAGTTGCCGAACTCCGACGCCCAATGACCGCAACCCATGCGCCATCGCCCGCCCACGGCAGGTGAGTTTGATTCCCTTCGTCCTCCACCTCCTCCTCCTTCGCCTCCAGTGCCTCCTCCGCCTCCAGTTCCTCCTCCGCCTTCTGCTTCTCCTCTTGTCCTCCTCGTCCTACATCTCCTCCACTTCTTCCACCTCCTCCTCCTCGTCTTCTTCCTCCTCCTCCTCCTCCTCCTCCTCTTTTTCCTCCTCCTCTTCCTCCTCCTCCTCCTCCTCCTCCTCTTCTTCTTCCTCTTCTCCATCCTCCTTCTCCTCCTCCTCCTCCTCTTCTTCTTCCTCATCCTCGTCGTCCTCATCGTCGTCATTATCCTCCTCCTCCTCCGCCTCCCCCTCCTCCCCGTCCTCCTCCTCCTCCTTCTTCTCCTCCTCCTTGTCCTTCTCTTCTTCTTCCTCTTCCCCATCCTCCTTCTCCTCCTCCTCCTCCTATTCTTCCTCATCCTCCTCGTCATCCTCCTCCTCCTCCTCCTCCCCCTCCCTTCTCCCCCCCCACTTCTCTCTTCTTCTTCTACCTCGATATCCTCCTCCTAGTCGTCGTCGACCTCCCCTCCCCTCCGATCGCTCACTTCCCTTGTGGCAGCCAGGTGTTAATAGCGACACTGATTTTTAATCCCTCGACGTCGCTCTTCCTATCACTGTCGAGCAGAATCCATCACGTGTTGATCAAAGATCATTTCAATCAATCAATCAATCAATCAATCAATCAATCAATCAATCAATCAATTGAATCAATCAATCAATTAATAAATCAATCAATACAATCAATCAATCAATCTATAAATCAATCAATCAGTTGAGATCCCGTCGAATCGATTGGTTCGATAGGATCTTGATCAAGATCCTATCGAACCAATCGATTCGACGGGATCCCGACTGATTGATTGATTGATAGATTGATTGGTAGATTGATTGATTGATTATATTGATTGATTGATTGATTGATTGATTGATTGATTGATTGACTGAGTTGGGAAAAAAAAACAACGTTGGGGGGGTCGAGGTCACCTCGTGGTGATGTTGGGGGTTCTGCCCGCTCCCCATCGTCGTCGTCCTCCTCCTCTTCTTCTTCTACATTGATGTCCTCCTTCTAGTCCTTGTCGACCTCCTCCACCACCTCGTCCTCGTCGCCATCCTCCTCCTCCTCCTCCTTCTCCTCCTCCTCCTCCTCCTCCTCCTCCTCCTCCTCCTCTTTTTCTTCCTCTTCCCATCTTCCTCCTCCTCCTCCTCTTCTTTCTCCTCCTCGTCGTCCTCCTCCTCCTCTTCTTTCTCCTCCTCGTCGTCCTCGTCGTCCTCCTCCTCCTCCTCCTCCTCCCCCCCCCCCCTTCCCCCCCCCCCCCTCCCTTCTTCTTTTTCTACCTCGATGTCCTCCTTCTAGTCGTCGTCGACCTCCCCTCCCCTCCAATCGCTCGCTTCCCTTGTGGCAGTCGGGCGTTCATAGCGACATTGCTTTTTGATCCCTCAACGTCGCTCTTCCTATCATTGTCGAGCAGAATCTACCAAGTGTTGATCAAGATCATATCAATCAACCAATCAATCAATCAATCAATACAATCAATCAATCTATTAATCAATCAATCAGTCGGGATCCTGTCGAATCGATTGGTTCGATAGGATCTTGATCAAGATCCTATCGAACCAATCGATTCGACAGGATCCCGACTGATTGATTGATTTACAGATTGGTAGATTGATTGATTGATAGATTGATTGACCTCTTTGCCCTCCTCCTCTTGCTCATCCTTGTCGTCGTCATCCCCTGCCTCGTTCTTCTAGATAGGTAGATAGATAGATAGATAAATTACATTAAATAGATAGATTACATACATAGATAAGACTAGATAGATAGA